AGATTTATATCTAACTAAATTTATACATACTTCAAGAAAATCATTGTTTCATGCAGAATATTTATTTAACTTTCTGTAAGATCTATTTTTTTAATTTACTCAATTTGATTTACTCAATTTTGAAATTTATTCAATTTTATTTATTGGAATGTAAATAATTTAGTGTATAGTTTGATAAGTAGTAATCTCTGATAGAAACTGAGTTCGAGTAAAAACTGACTCGAGTGAATTATCGATTGAATCCATATTTTGGCAAAACACATTTCAACAAATTAATTTTTGATGAAGAACTGTTGCATTGGCATACGAGAAGGAACTACATGTAAAACAACAGTTTACATAATAGTGCTCATACATACGTACGCACTGGCGCGTGTGTCACACGTGTATACACGACTCATCGAGCGTTCCTCGATGAATCACAGCGACAAAGATAAAACAATTTACCTGGTAGCGCATGGTTTATCGAGTTCGTAACATATTCGCGACGCGTAAAATGATGCACGAGCCTTCCGGCGTGACACAAATCATAATAAATCAACGATGCAAATCAATAAAAATTTGCACTTATGAACATCTACGAGAAAAAGTTATGTTTATTTATTTCTTTAGTCGATAAGATTTGATCAAACAAATAATTTTTAAATAGAAAATTTTAAACGCAGAAAATTTTCATTTCCTTCTTTTTTGTATTCCTAAAAAGATTTAGTTTGTATATTAATTATATCAAGAAATATTTTGTTTAAATTAAAATTTGTAAATTTAAGTTAAAATTTGTAATTCTTATGTTTCAATAATTCCGATGATATGAAAAGAATTCTTTCCTTTTTTAAGGATTAAAAATAAAATGACATTGATCGAGCGCTTTCAGTCATTTAGCTATGTCGAGCACGTACGAGATTCGTTTACTTTACTTTGAGAGAGAGCTTCGCTGCAAATGAGAGAAAAATACGTACGTTAAAAACGGACACAAATTTTGCTCGAAAAAGATGTATCAAATCAAGTTAAGAAGAAGAGCATAATAACCTATTATATCGCTGATAACTCTACATTTAGTAGTATTACTATATTTAGTATAGTAATACTACTAAATGTAGAGTAGTACTACTATATTTAATAGTCGAAAAAACTATTAAACGCAACAGATTGGATTATTTAATAGAATTCTTCTTTTATCGAAAAATGAAACTTGACAGAAGTAATACACTGACAGAAGTACTTTTTAAGACAAGTATATCTATTTCACAAAGATGTTTAGCTGTGCAATTCTTCTTGATAATTTTCTCGATTAAAAATCTATTAAAAAAATCTTTTATTTGCGATTTATCGGTTTTTTAAATCTTCTTTAATCGAATTGAAAGATATAAGAATGTTGACTGAACCTTTTAAATATATTCAAGGTTGCTCCATACAGCCTATGTAGCTTTGGCATTACACTTCCGCTCCAATATTGAATGATTCCAAATGAATGCTTTTAAAACACAAACGCAATACGTCATGCCAGATGTACAGGTGCGTCCACAGCAACCAATAGCAAGTAAGGACAATTGTATATAT